CTGTGTCCTTTATCTGTACATCACCTGGTCCAGGTGTGTGGGTGGCCTGTGTCCTCTACCTACACATCACCTGGTTCAGGTATCTGGGTGGCCCGTGTCCACTACCTGCATGTTATCCAGGTCCAGGTATGTGGGCAGACTCTGCTTGCCCTCTCAAGTGGGATGGGGGAAGCAGCTCTGTTCCCTCACCCGCCTGGACAGGAAGAAAAAGTTTGCTCACATAGCAGGTGCTCATGAAGACTCAGTTCTGCACTGGGCACCATGCACGTCTTTGGGAGTATGCCTATTGGACACAATAGGCTGGCGGTTGATATTGATTTAATAAATGAGCACAAGATACCGATCCTGTTCTCGTAGAATGGAGAGTCTAGCAGCAGGACAGAAGAGGGATGTTTATTCTGTGTTCATGTCACTGACTTTGGAGGGGGTGACATTTTCCAGGTACATCGTCTGTGCCGTCTGGTCCCTGATGCCTCATCTGCTTTGCTCTGTGGGCATCTGCAGGAAAGACCTGAGCTTTGCAGCCTTGTACTATCTGTGGCTCACTTGGGAGGACTGTGTAGTTCCTAGTCCTATATTTCTTTGTCACATTCTGCACCTTCATTTCTAACCGGGTCACTTCCGTCAGCCTACCCCTGGCTGTCACTTCTGGGAGACCCAGTGTTGTTTTCGCATAATTATTGAAAACAGCAACTTTTTGAAAAGATTAAATCTAGTTTCGTTCATTTAATTTGTCATCATTCATAGGTAATATTTTGAGTTTTTAAATTTAAAAAATGCGATTAAGACTTCATTCCTATTTCTTGGACTTTTATAGATTGACATTTGGTTTGAAAGATTTAGAAATTTACCACTTCAAATAAGGTTGCTGTTTTTCATTTAATTACAAGTGAAAGCAGGACAGGTTGGTGATAGTTTTTAAAGCCTCTTCCTTTGTCCCCTGTGGTGGGAACCAGTATGCCCACCTGATGGCGTTCATATAGCGTAAGACATGCAGAAAGTGTGAAAAGCCCCCGGGGAAGAAAAGTGACTACAATGCAGAAGCCAATGAGGCCTGCCCATGAGGCCTGAGCTTCTCTTACTTTGCCACCTAATCAGAAGGAGCTCCCCATGAGGCCATAGATGTAAGCTGGGAGAGAGAAGGGAGGGTAGCAAGACTGGGGACTATGGGCCACTTTGTCATGTCACTTACTTGTGCCTTAAGGGTCTCCTCAGACCTGATCATATATATTAGGACTTCCATTTGATGATGGAGGGCTGCTGTTCACACCCAGCTTTATGGCTTGGTGGGTCAGGTAATGCCCAGTTCATGATGGGCAGCTCACGTCATACAGTAACTTGATAACCCATAGGCAAGGGTTTAGGCTCTACTTAGACCTAGCAGCAGGCCAAGAGCCTTTCTCAAAAGGGGAATGGTTATCTGCAGAAGATGGCAGGGTCTTGCTCCAAAATCCCGTTTGCAGGCCTGTGCTATGGCTCCTGCCTGGGGGCCTGCCAGTGGCTGTGGTGGCATCCCTTAGCAAACTGATCTCACGTCACGTAGAAGGGGGGGAGGCAGATGCCAGAAGGCTGCAGTGGGGTTCAAGGACTTGCACCCACGCCTTGTCCAGAGGCCAAGATGGGACTGGGAGGGAAGTGCAGTGAGCCACGGCCAGTAAAGCGTTTGAGCCTCACACCACTGCAGAGCAGCAGTTCTGAGATCAACAGACCAGTGGGTTAGTGAAATACAACAGCTTTGGGACTTGGGAACCCTAGAACTGGATCCCAGATCCATAACCCACAGCTGAGTGGACTGGGACATACTGCTCTGTCCTTTTCCATAGAAGAAGTGATACTGGACTGGGTGGCATTTGTGCCACCTTTTTCGCAATTATAGAGTGGGGATAGTAATGATCCGACCTCATATGGGGGTTAAAAGAATAACTGTGTAGCCCACCAAGGGCACCCTGGCTAGTCGGGGACTCTAGCAGGGTGGGTTGGTGTTTTCTGTAAGGTCCCTGTGGGTATTTATTTTACTTTATATTTATACTTTCAGAAGTGTAAGTATGGAAAGGACTTCTTACTTTTATCCATGATATCGCTTTCTGAAGATTTCAAAACGTATTTATAATGAATAGATTTAAAATAAAATTTCTAATAACTTAAGAACTCTATAAAACCTATGTCATCAAAATAATAAAATTCATTTAGAGCATATCAAAGAAGACACAAAATGAATGGAAATTTGTACCATTTTTGAAATGGAAGAATTCAGTATAATGAAAATGTCAAGTTAATCTATCCGTTTAACTTCAGTGCCAGTCAAAGTCACAATGCAGGTAGAAAGAAGGGAAGCATTATTCTTTGTAAGTTAAAGACTTCAGGTTTCTTTTTTTAACTTTGGCAAGCTTTTCACCTGGGAGAACAAACAAATGCAAACAGCCAAGAGAAGTGTGAAGAGGGTGAATAACGGGCATGGACCTAGCCGCGTGCAGGTCATCTGCACATTCCGCTGTGGGAAGTATTAACTGTGCACGTAAATTGCCTTGGTAATCAGAGAGTATTTTCTAAATTAACATTTTTTGTTCAGTGTTTTCCAGGGTGCCTGACTATTCAGATTCGCACTGTCCTGTGTATTTTCATAGTGGTCTTAATCTACTCAGTAGCCCAAGGATGTGTGGTGAGCATCTCCAGCTTGTGGCATGCGCTGGGGCAGGAGAGGTTATGGCATGGAGGGCCAGCCAGGAGGCCAGGGCCCAGAGCTGTAGAGACAGGGAGGTCAGCAGAGACATCAGGAATAGGTGCAGGGCCCCGAGAAGCCAGGGAACAGGAGACTTCAGTAAGCAGAGGAAAATGTAAACTCTCCCTGGTGAAAGGAACCTGGCTTCTTCATACAAAGCAGAGGACAGAAGCAGGGGTGGAAAAACAGGATAGAGATGGGGCAGGAGGAGCATGATGGAGCTAGGCAGAAGTAACAGGATGAAGCTGGGGCAGGAGGAACAGAATGGAACTAGAACTGGGGGTTGGAGTGAAATGATGGAAATGGGCAGGAGTAACAGGATAGAGTTTGTGGTGGGAGTAATAGGATTGAGCTGGAGGAAGGAGTAACAGGATAGAACTGGGGCAGGAG